ACTAACCATTTGATTTATATATATATATATATATATATATATGTATATATGTATGTATGTATGTACTCCCTCCGTTTCACAATGTTAGTTATTCTAACATTTTCCACATTCATATTGATGTTAATAAATCTAGATAGATATATATGTCTAGATTCATTAACAACAATATGAACATGAGAAAAGTTAAAATGACTTACATTGTGAAATGGAAGAAGTATATATTAGCACTGTTCATGAATTTTTACTGCTTGTATCCCAACTATGTTTATCCTAATTAACCTGCAGATACGACAAATGGTCACTTGGGATGCCTTGTCTCGCCGCCATATCTTCTGTTTCTTTGCTTGCTAAGAAATCACAATATGGTTGAGTCAAAAAGGGGAGAAAATGGATAGAGGCTAGTCAAGATCAGTGTGATAAGTGGTCACGGGAAAAGCGGGCCTTGCATTGTGTGCTTGTCGTATGGCTTTATATAATATATATATATATATATATATATATATATATATATATATATATATATATATATATATATATATATAAACCAATTAACAGATTACTAATTTTCCAATCGTCGCATTAGAATTTTGTACGTTTTATGTGCTTGTCGTATGGCTTTATAATATATATATATATATATATATATATATATATATATATATATATATATATCTTAACTAATTAACAGATTACTAATATTCCAATCATCGCATTAGAATCATGTATGTGAGGAATATGGTGAGAAGATATCACAGGACTCGGCGCCCGATCCTCCTTTTCAAGTTGGACATCTCCAAGGCTTTTGACTCGATCAGATGAGACTACCTACTTGCGCTCCTCCAAAATAGGGGTTTCCCGTAAAAATGGCGCGACTGGATATTCGGGCTGCTGTCCACTTCCACCTCAAAGATCACCCTGAATGGAATCCCGGGCGAAACAATCAGACACAGGAAGGGTTTGCGGCAGGGTGGCCCCCTATCCCCCCTCCTCTTCATCTTGGCTATAGACCCCCTCTAGCGCCTATTAGACAAGGCTACCGACATAGGAGTTCTAAGTAAGCTGTGAGGCAGAGCTGTGCGCTTCCACACATCTATGTACGCGGATGATGCGGCCGTCTTCATTAATCCGACCAAAGAGGACGTGAGTGCCTTCGCCGCTCTGCTAAATCGTTTTGGGAAGGTATCAGGATCATGCACGAACCTGCAAAAATCGCAAGTGGCGCCGATCAGATGCAATAATCTGGACCTCGACGACATCCTGCATGGCACGCCTGCAACTAGGGCAAGCTTCCCGATGAAGTATCTGGGGTTGCCTCTGTCCACTGGCTGTCTACGCAAAGTAGACCTTCTACCTCTCTACGACAAATCGATGAGTAGAGTAGCTAGCTGGCGAGGAAGACATATTGGCCTGGCAGGGCGATCAACGCTGGTTAAATCGGTGCTCACTTCACAACCTTTTTTTCTTCTGATGGGCCTGAAAGCTTCAAAAGAGTCCCTAGAGGTCATCGACAAGCAGAGAAGAAAGTTCCTATGGACAAGCGGTGAAGCTCTGACAGGGGGCAAGTGCAAAATAAATTGGACACGGACCTGCCTCCCTACAGCCTCAGGAGGACTAGGCATTCTGAACTTGGAGGAATTTGCAAGAGCTTTATGACTGTGGTGGCTTTGGAACGAGTGGAGATCACCGGAAAAAGCATGGGTGGGGTCGGGAACACCCTGTGATGACACGGATAGGTTACTTTTTGCAGCAGCAACAACCATAACAATAGGGGATGGAGCGAAAGCAAGCTTTTGGGACTCAGCTTGGCTGGAAGGGAGAAGACTAAAGGATGTAACTCCCCTGATCAACGCGGCCTCCAAGAAAAAGAACACCACGCTACAACAGGCCTCAACTACAGACCAGTGGCTGCTCAATCTAGACCTTCCTCCAACCTCAGGTTGGACAACAGAGCTGGTCAGCCAGCTAATCAATGTCTGAGTGCGGTACACAACGTACATTTCACAGAAAATGAGGAGGATAAGATAGTGTGGAAGCTCACTAGCCACGGTGAATATACGATGACGTCGGCCTACAAAGCGCAGCTCCTAGGTACTACAGCCACCAACTTCAACATCCTAATATGGAAGCCGTGGGCACCACGCAAGTGCAAGACCTTTGCCTGGTTGATCATCCAAAATAGAGTTTGGACCTCCGACAGACTGGTAACCAGAGGTTGGCAGAACAGTTCTTTCTGCCCCTTATGCAGACACACCCAAGAAACTGCTCTCCACCTTCTCGCAGAATGCAGATACACTAGGAAAATCTAGGCGGCGTTATCTGATTGGACTAGGTGTGGTCAACTAAATCCCGGTCAATGGCAACCAGCTCAATCGGTGTCAGAGTGGTGGGAGGCCACCGCCAACTTGAAGGAAGCCCCGAAGAAAGCACTTCGCACGTTAACACTTCTGGTCAACTGGGAAATCTGGGACGAGAGAAATCGTAGAATTTTTCAGCACAAAGAGTTATCTACCGGAAGTCTGTTGGCCAAAATTAAAGAGGAGGCCAAAACATGGTCTCGGGCGGGGGTGAGGCATCTTGGTAGCTGGCTTGCTTTTTATTTTTAGCTCAGTAGGACCGAAGGTCCTAGGCCTGGTTTTTCTTACTTGTAAAGTTTACTCCTTCTCTATTCAATGAAATTGGCAGTTCGCCGATTCATTCAAAAAAAAATTTCCGATTGATTCATGGCCTTGAGTACGTATCAAATACAAGCCTTAATTTTTTTTTTGTCTGTTTCGTCCGTTGCTCACGTCACATAAAATCGTCGCTCGCGTCATCATGCCTGCAATGCCGCGTCATCGTGCGATCATGAAAAAAAAAACGCGGCAACGGTAAGAAAATAGCGAATCGAGGCAGAAAAAAAAAACGAAATTGCTAGATTTGTGGCGCCATAAATTGTGGTTGATTGCAGTCGCCTGTTCTGACTGTCGGATAGACGCCGTGATTCGTGTAGTTTTTTTTGTCTGCGGACCCGCTTTGACCCAATAATTGTGGTATCGGATCCCGTAATTTCTCTCTTACCCGTTTAGGTTGTCCAATTTTGAACAATATTTGATATCGGTTTCCGCGCCGCTGGGTTGTTCCGTTTTACTTTTTCCTTTTCTCTCTCTCTCGTTCGAGCGACGCGTAGCCAGCGACCTCGCCGAGGCGATTTCTCTCGTGCTTCCCTTCTTCGGCGCCGGATTTGTTCGTGAGCGCTCTCCACCGAATTTCTCTCGCTGTCAGCTGGAGATTGATCCATCTCGTTCATGGCTAGGTATTTTTGTTGCATTTTTTCTCAGTTTTTTTTGGGGATTTTGAATCCTTTTTGGTTTGCAGTGCAGAACTTGTTTATTTTGTTCCAACTATCACAGATCTGACGTGGTTAGCAACGATTTATTTGTATTTTAGGGTTCATATGTGTGTGCTTTTTTATTTTTGATTTTTTCTGTTCATGTTTTTGAATCCTATGTGCTAGCGTTGCTGGAAGCTTGGATCTAGTCTGTTGGACCTATGGATTAACTATCGATCTAGTATTAACTATAACGGATCTGATGTTTTTTGCATCTACGGATATGTGCTTGGCTAGCGTCGCTGGGATGTTGCAACTTCCCGTGTTTAATATAGGGAGTAGCATCAGGATTAATATTTTGTGGCATTTTTTGTACCCTTTGTATGTGACTATTTGCTTTTTTGGAGATGCAACCAGCGTGGTTGATTTATGCAGTAGCAACCCGATGCAAATTAGAGCATATTGTGTATGCTAGATTCACAGGTCCTTTATACGTTTTATAATATGATGCTAGAGAACTAAGTTTACATATGATGCAGAGTACTATATGCTTTTGGATCAAGTGCTTTTGGATCAAATGCTTTTTTTCTGATGTGTGTTATTTTCCATTTTTTGGATGTAGTTTTGATGCTGATCTGCAGTTTGTATGTAGTTTATTCACATTTGACATGTGTAGTATGAAAAACTAACTATGCATTGTTGTTATTTTTGAGAATAACTATGTATTATGCAGACTCTGCAAATTGATTATAGGCAGATAACTAGTGTACTGTATGTAACATTGCTGTGTGATTCATTCTACTAGTACTCCGCTTCCCACACACACCCACAGTGCTGCAAATGATTTCTTTGAAATTAGAATGTGATTTTTGGTTCATACAGTTCATACTAAATATATGATTTTTTTATTGTATTCATGTTGCTTGTTATGCTCTAATTATTTTTATTCCCATTTTTTATTCGCTTTGCATGTGCTCTGAATCTATGTTTAGTTATACTGACATTTTAGGTTAGTTTTATTTCTATGGCCCCTTCTTTTGCATATATCGTGCCAGTGCTTTTAATTTTGTTTTTCTTTTTTAGGGGCATCAATATGTCTAAGAGGAAAGTACTTGAACAGGGAACTAGCAATGTCTTTGACCGTCCTCAGTATCCATTTGCTAATCCTGAAATTTCTGATGGTTCAGATGAAAATTTTAGAGAAGATGTTAGTATTTATTCTTCAATATTTACCTTTTTTTTTCAAGAATTTCCGACACTTTTTTTTGCTCCTTATCCTTTATTCAGTTCTAAACTTCTAATGTATGTGTATTGATCAAGTTGTTTTCCTATTGTTTCATATAGGACACAGAATCAGATGATGATTTTGACATGGATTATGTCATGCTTGAGTTGTACAGGAAGACGGTAAGATCATAAGTTTTATGTTCTATTTTTTATCATCTTATTTTTGATTTGTTCATGTAATAAATTTAGTTCTTTTTTCTAATCATTTTTTTTGGTTTGCCAGATTGTGCAAAGCATGAAAAGAAAGATGAAGAAGAATTCTAATGTTCTTCTAGAGAATCAAAAGGTAGTCATATTTATTTCATGTTTTTTATTTTGTTTTAGTTTTTTTCGTGTTTTCATTTATTTTTTTCACCTGTTGTTCCAGTTTTAATCTTAAATTAAACTTACTTTCCACAGATGAAGAAACAAACTTGTCTTACTAAGGCCAACTCTTCATTCTCAAGATTTTCAGCAAAGTATTTTTCTGAAGTTATTGCAGATTTATCTGGTCCTCAGAGGTTTATCATTGAGAAATATGGGTTTGCAAATTTGCTTCTGTTTGATGTTAAATCTGCACCTAAGAAGCTTGCGTCATGGGTTGCCAAGAGATTTGATTTGAGCTCATCTGAAATCATTCTTAGAGACAAAGTTATTCCAGTCACAGAGCATAGTGTTACTGTCGTGCTTGGTTTGCCAACTGGACGAAGAGATTTTGGGAAGAATTTCGATATTGGGAAAGAAATAATTCTCTCAAGATTTGGTTTGTCTGTACTTCCTTCTGTGAAATTTTTTGGTGATCTTTTGAAGCATAATAAAGACATGGCTGAAGACAAAGTGATTACTTGTTTCTTGATTGTTGCGCTTGCTTGTTTCTTGTGTCCCAATTCATCATTAGTCCCAAGTGTGAAGTATCTTACCATCTTTGAAGATATTAAAGCTTTGGATTCTTATAATTGGTCAAAGTTTGTGTATGAGTGGCTCTTGATTCATATCAAAAAGTTCCAAAAGTCAAAGAACTTGGGTGGTTGCTTACATATTTGGGCTGTAAGTGTTTCTTCCATCATACTCCAGTTGTGCTAAGTTTTATTTCCATATTTACAAATACATTTAATGCTTTTGTTATTTTATATGATTTTGCTTTTTTTATTTTTTTTCTAGATTTTGTACCTCGATTTTGTTGATTTTGGTCAGAGATGTGTTCCTAAAGGAATCCCTCGTATCTCAGCCTAGAACGATGATTTGATTGCTACGTTTTCTGATTTAGACAAAATTGATGACACCACTTATGGACTTAGGCCACTGAAGGTTAGTTGCACTAGTTACTTTGAGGTTACTTTCCTAATTTTATTTTTCATATAGTGCAGCTCATCTCTTTTCTGCTTATATATTAACCACTTCTTTTTTCAGTCTGTCCTACTACAGGAACAAATGCTTTCATTCCATCACAAACTTGATTCAGCTATTGGGAATTTTTTGTCTGATAGTTTGAAAGATTTTGCGATAAGCTTACCAGTCACTGTTCTATAAATCATGTCTCTGATAGTCTGTCATGTGAAGATGTTATTCTCAGCATTTTACAGATGTTGCATGACTCTAGTTCATCTGAAACAGTTCAACTTGACAGTCATAATATTGCACACACAGCTACAGCCAATGCTTCATTTCAAACTGATAAGCAACATGTTGGATTTAACAATCACTCATTTCAATTTAATGAAAAGCGAACTCCTCACAGTAAATCTTGTAAGTTATTTGTTCCTTTTTTGGTTAGCATTGTTGTATGGATTTTGTACTTTTAATTTTTGTGACTTAAGATTCATTCATTCTTTTTATTATTGTTGTAACATAATATCAACTTTATGATTTATTCATGAGCAGATGCTGAACATTCTGTTGGAAACCACCCATTGTCAACTGAAGATTTTGCTCCTGTAAGTGTCCCCTTATATATATGTATACATGCTTTGTAGTACCCTTTAATTATATATTTGTTTTTTTTACTTTTAATGGCAATGTTAATGATTCCAGCAATTAACTGCTAAATATTTTTTAGCAGACTATTTTTTGTTATTTTGTTTATGTGTTATATTGTTCATATTTTTTATTAGAGCACTTTTGGCTGTGGACAAGCTAGTGCTAGTCTAAGTGCTCAAGGTAATATTAGTTTACGACCTTCTTTTAAACTTTCACCCAATTTCTTTTGTTTGTATCAATTTTATTTTTTATTATTATCTAATGATTTGATATTTTTTTCAATTTTTCAGCTCAGATGTATCATACTCCTGAAGTTGGATTAATTAAAAACAAGAAAGTTTGCCTGGATGAATCATTCAATGGTTTGTACTGATTATTTCCCTCACTAATTTCTATATAAGCAAATAGTCATTGTATTTGAAGTTTTAACATTAATGTTACTGTGCATATTAACTACTTTTGTCATAGTATTGAATTTTTTTTCTTTTTTTATAGCTTCAGCTGCTACAGCAGCTATTGATGCTGTTAAAGATGTTGCAAAGAAAATTAGGTCAAGAATGGCTTATCTTAAATCTAAAGAGAAGATGAATAGGATTTTTGATGGCACTAAATCTCTTTCCTTGAGATTCTTGATTCCGAAGATTCTGGAGATTGTGACAGTGATGATTGCTTGCCTCATATTGTGGATTTTGAGGCAGATTTCAATGAAAATGAGTCACCTATTGATGCAAGGCCCTTGTCCTCCCAAGTATGAATTTCTTATTGTTTTCAAATTTTATTTTTTTAGCTTTTATAATAATGTCATGTTGTTTACATTATCTGTTTTAACCACTTTTTATGTATGGTGATGTTTGCTTTTTTAATTCATTTCCAACCTTTATGCAGATTGCTCTCAATTCTAACTCTTTCCACCCAAATGTGAGAACATATAACAATTTGAAGACTCTGAGCAATAACAAGGATAAAGGAAAATTTGATGCTGAATTTGTCAGGAAAAGGGCATTCCAAGATCTCACAGTATGTGTGTTTCTTATGTTTTGTTTATATTCTGCTCTTTTTCCTTATGTTCTTTTAGGTTTCAAAATTTTCAAAGTTTCAATTATTTAGTTTATCCATTCTCTTTATTACAAACTATCTGTTTTTCCTAATTTATGTTTTTTTTTCAGAATTCACCTGATGTTGTTTGTCTTGGGTCCAATACATGTTCTAACAAGACGAAAAATATGTCCATTAAATCTGAGCATATTTACAACAAGAGCAATCAATTTGATTCCAATTACAAAGTATTTGGCTCTGGTTTCAATAATTCTGAAGCAAGCTCTTCAGGTGGCAGATTGCCCCCACATGGTCCAAGAAGACCTCTTAAGCCATCTAGACATGCAAGTGATCCTTTTGTACCAGTTAGACGGCGCTTTCTAGTTTCTGAACAAGAAAACAAGTACTTCACTGCAATTTGTTGTCTCGCTCATACTAGATGGCAAAGGTATTTTTCTAAAATATTTTGCATTTTAACTTCATTGCAATTTGTTGTGTCGCTCGTACTAGATAGCAAAGGTATTTTCTAAAATATTTGTAATTGTAGTCCTTACTATGCTGCTCAATCATTTGTTTGTTGCCCTTATTGTCCTTTTTTTGCAGCTTGTTTGCAGTAAATATTGACAATGTTCGTATCACATTTTCCAATTTTGGAAATTCTTTGAGGATTGGTGGTGATGTTTCAAACTATGTGATATCTGCCTTTTGTCGACTGATGTTCCACAACAACCATCCATCTAAATCAAAGAAGAATTATTTCTTTTCTTCCATTGGGGTAAGTATTTCTGCATACATATAGTAGTGTTTCCTTTTATATATGCTGCTTTATTAATTGTTTATTTATATTTTTTATTATCATTGTTAATAATTGCAATTTGTCCTATTTTGTAGTATCAACTTTTGAAGAAGATTGAATGCATTGAAATGGTCAAAATAAAGAAATGTTTTGATGGTGCTGCTAGTGCTAGAAAATTACATCTTTGCGATATGGTAAATTGTTTGCTAATTTTTTTTAGTTACTTTTTTTAAAATGATATATGTATATACAGAATATAACATTACATACATTTTTTTTAATTTGTTGCCTTTGATTTTCAGCTTTTTTTTTCCCCATTAATCATCTTGACCACTGGTTCCTGTTCGTCGTTGATATAAAGGACCGAATGCTTGTTTTCCTTGATTCATTGCATCATAAAAGTGATCCATACTTTGATCCAATTATTCCTATGATGGTAAGGCTAAATATCTGCTATCTGCTTCAAACTTTTACTAGTATTTTTTGGTATTTGTGCTATGCTTTTTATTATGCTTATTTATGATTATTGCAGATCAAGAATATTCAGACATTGTGGGATAAATTTGAGGGCACTGCCATAGATTTCAGCAAGTTTAGAGTATTTTTTCCGCTTGTTCCGTGACAGGAATTCAGGTTATCTCTTCTGAATTTGGTTTTATATGTCCTAATTATGTTATGTAATAGTTACTTTTTGTTATTCATACTAACAATATATATGTTTGTGTGTTTGAAGCTGTGATTCTGGCATTTTTGTAATGAAGTGCATCGAACTTTGGTCTCCGAGGGTTGTATTGCCAAACGAGTTCAGCAAAGATGATATCAATAACATCCGTGTTCAATACACAAACAAGATATTCTTCCACCACAAGAATATTATGCTTCAATCTGAAAGTGAACAATTGGTTGTTAACTGGGTTGAAAATGTAAGTTTTCTAAAAAATCCTTGTTGTGCTTTCAGTCTTCAAAGTATTTTTCTTAGTTTGTTCTACTGTGTATTTTTGTTCCTTTTTTATTCCCAAGTTTACTGTCTTTTTCATATTTTTCTTTTTCCTTTTATGTTTTATGTAGGAAGAATTCCAATATGAAGATGAAGTTGCCACGGACTAAGAATCAGGCTACCAATTTTTGCTTCTCCTCCTGAAATCAAGCCTTTAATGTGACATTTCATAGGACTGATATTATAGTTACGTAAATATAGCAGTCAGTAGACATAGTGTTGCTTAGAGACATGTTATCTCTTTTTGTAACGCCACCTATCCTCTGATTCTGTTGAGATCACTTTTTCATGTTGCTGGCCATATTTGTCAGTCCTCATAACATACAATATAAAATTTTCACATAAATAGAGGGTGCTAACTCAAGTAATCCCAAATTTGATGGCATTGGCATTACAATTGTTTTTGTGCAAATGCTTAAGTACTAGTAAATTACATTTTTTTTGTTGGATGATACTATTACATAGTCGCACAGAGATATCCTCCTGATCTTCTCTTCTTCTTTTTTCAACTATTTCTTCTTTGTTTTGTTACTGCTCTCCAACTCTCTGTTCTTTTGTTGCTTTTGCCCTGCTGCCCTGTTTGATCTCTGTTGGTTTTTTGCATGGTTCTTCTCTCCTGCAAGACAGTTATAACCACAAATTAGTCTTTTGCACAATTTTTGCATTAAGAAAATATATGAACAACAAACTTATTTTCAAAAATGTTTTCTCCATTATCTTTTTTGGATCACCTTTGCTTCTTTTCTTTTTCTTATTGTTATTGTCTATCATCTGCTCTACTATTCTTTTGCGCCTTATTGATTTCCTTCCTTTTGTATTAGCTTGATCTGGGTCTTGAATTTCCTCTTCCTCATTTGTTTCTTTTTCCTGCAATTGTTCCTCTTCATTTGGTTCTGTGATTGTTTCATCTTCTGCAATCATTGAATCTTCTGCAATATCTACCAATGTTGTGATCTGTTCCTCTTGTGCAAGCATGGAATCAATATGTTTATCCAACCTATCCATTTCTTCCAGCAGGTAATTATAAGTCTCCACTTTCTTACATGCTTTTGATGATATAAGTGCACCTTTTTTTGATAGTATGTTGTACCTTAAAGCTAAATTATCCCCATTGTATGTAAATCTTTCAACATTTGTGGCTATTTTTTTCTCTCTTTTCCTCCACCTATCAATGATGTATTTGTCTGGAATCTTCTGAACATTTAATTGTAACATTATTTTCAGGACATGACAACAGAGAATTCCATCCTTTGAAAACTTAGCACAAATGCAGCTGAAATCTTCATTAGGTAAGTCTGTCATAACCACATACTTTCTCGGCCTCCATTCTTGTCTTGTTTGGTTTGTTGCAGCAAACACCAAATATGTCTTGCCTTCTTCTATGATTGATGTTTGTAGCATTAATGTCTTCTCTAGCTCTAATTGGAATCTTTCGAAGATTGATGAGTTGTACAGTTCACACGCTTGTTCTTCTATGCAGTAATCTGACCAAAACTCTTTTGGTCTTTTAGTATTTGATTTATGGTCATTGCTGTGCATTGTTTCAAATATTCTGTCATTGATTCTATCATGCTCCTTTAGGAAACTAGTGACACTGTGTCTTGGGCCCACCTCTTTTTTTGTACCTTGCATTTGTTCCTTCGCTTAGAGTTGTGCTATGGATAAATGGGAACCAATCATTCTTGAAGTATACAGGGATATATGTTGCCCTTGCTTTAAACATTAGCTGTAAATATTTCACATTCTGTAGGTTATATTTCTCAATCATTTGTGGCCAAAGAGTTTCAAACTCTTGCTCAGTCAGACAATTGTGCACAATATCATCAAAATCTTTGTATAGCTGCTTCTTTGTTTCATCTGTTTTGCTTGTGATTGTGAATGTGGTGCTAGTTTTTTCCCTGCAATTTTTCATGATGTGAAATAGGCAATTTCTATGTTTGGTACTTTTGATTACTTGTGCTATTGCAGATCTCATAGCATTATCTTGATCAGTAATTATGCTTCGTGGCTCCTTCCCACCCATTGCCGTTAGAAATGTCTCAAAGACCCACTTGAAAGTCTCTATTGTCTCATCTCCAAGGAATGCACAACCAAATATGCATGTATTTGCATGTCCTGTCATACCAACAAAAGGTGCAAATGGCAAGTCATATCGGTTTGTCTTGTAGGTTGTATCAAAACTCACAAAATCTCCAAACTGCTCATATAAATCCCTACATCTGCCATCTGTCCAAAACCTGGATCTTCTGCTTCTTTTTTCCTTAAATACCGCAAGACTTGACTCATGTCCTTGTTCTTTGTTTCTGAATTACTTGATGAAGCGACGTTGCTGATGTCTTTCTTTGTATATGGCAGCGATGATAACCCTCCACGGAGTGATGCCAGTATCACCACCATGCTTCTTGTTGGTATGTTACATTCTTTTAGTGTTAGAATTAAGCTCTTCTCTTCCTGTGTCATGTCTTTGTGTGAGTAGAGGAATTTTCTCTCTTCTGGGGGGCAAAGATTGTGGTTGTGACTGAGATCTAGTCTTATAACACTCCATATGCCATTATTTTCTCTAACAACCATCACACATTTGCAATCAGTTCTCACTAGAACATTTGTATTTCTTGTCCCTTTCTTTTTCTGAACTTGGTTGGTTGCATTGTCCTGATTTTTTCCATGCCTGTTGCATTTGTATGTGTATTTGATGACTTCATTGTTCCTTTTCTTGTCACTGGTCTTCAGGCTGTGGGCAATCACAATGGAGAATCCAATTAAATAAGCATAGAAGTTGAAGAATGTGTATGCTTCATCATCAGTCTTGAATTGCATCCCTTCACAAGGTATATGACGGCTATCTATCTCATCATTGTCAGCTTCCTCTTCATCTGCTGCACTTTCTTTATTTTCTTTGTCTGTTATTTCTGCATTATCTTCTGTAGAAGCTATGCTAGCTTGCACTGCACCATTTACTTGCTCAAGTGCTGAATTCTCTGTGCTAGTAATTTGTACCTGAATTTTTAAAAAATATTTCATATTATGTGTTAGTAGTCGCACTTGGATGTTAAGTAGTAAAGAAACATTATTTTTATTGTACAATATAATAACAAAAAAAATGAACATTTGTTCTAAAGTAACCTCATTGCCCCAATTGTCTTCATGTTCCTCCAATAACCATTGATTCACATTGGAGCACTCTCCAATAGAGTTGCTCACTGACTCAATATTGTGTATGTGCTGCAAAATCAACTTGTTCTTTTAATTTTTGTTTTCTGTTGTAATAAAAAAAGTATTCCCATGCATACAAATAAAAATAAAAACATATTATAAACTAACAAAACACATACATAGTGATTGTCATTGTTACTGTTATATATTTTCTCTATATCATTTTCCATGCATTGGTCTTCAAAAGGCATCTGCATGGACAAGTGGGAGCATGTGTAAGAAACGAGATTTTTTTTTGCTTTTTTGTTTAATATTTTGTGTTAATTATCTTACTATACCTGCACTTCTTGTTCTGCTTCAAGAACTGCTTGATCAAAGTTATCAATGCATCTGTTTGTTGTGAGAATCATTGAGTTCTACATGGAAGACAAAATAAATAGTGTGTTACAATTGGAAATACAGTAATATAGTTATGTCCAGTTTGTTGTTCAAATACCAAGTTAAGAGTTTTATCCAACTTACACTGTATCCTATTGGTGATTGAAGGTGATAGTTCATTTCAGCAAGCCTTCCCTGCATTTTTTTTGTCCAGAAAATTTATTAGTTTAACATGAAACTTTTAATTTCAGCGCTGATTGCTTTTACAAAAAAGTTATGAATTGCTTCTTGTCACCTGATTGGTATGCAAGTTTATCTTAGGACTTTGACTTTGAATAACTTGCTGCATCAGTGCTGTGTAGCTCATTTGTTGTCCCTGCATATATTTCAACATTAAATTTATTAGCAATATAATAATAAAGACTGTTATCACTATGTCCAACTAATTTTTTTTCTCTCACCAGCTCTGTTTGCAAGCTTAGCAACGCGTACTCTTCATGTAACATCTGTCCCCCATAAGCTATTTCTGTAGAATTGGTACCTGCATTTTGATAAGAAAAAATGTTAGTTGTAGTTTTATAATTTTATCATTTTTCTATCAAATAAAATTTCAGTTGTTTTATTATTTCCCATAATTTTGTTCATATAGCATGGTTCACTGTGATTTATATGCTGTCTAGTTTCTATCTCCTAAATTGGCACTTTTTGTTTGAACTGCATTTTTTTAAAAACTTAAATAACAAAAACAAGAAATTTACAAATGTAAATTCAGTTATAGACCAATGTAATTTTATTTATTATTTAAATACTAGTCTTTTATAGACTCATCAACCAATCTCCTTGTTTTGAAATGCATTAAATTTGTTTCATTGGAACTTACATTGACATTATATTGAAATTACAAATGTAATTTACACGGTAGGTCAATGTAATTCTACCGAATTATAGTAAATTAGTCTAGGTTTGTTTTATGAACTGTGAATTTTGTTTTGTGAATGTAATTTTCTGTTTTCTTCATTGATATGAATATAGTAGTTCAAATTGAAGTTAAAAAAATACGGTTTTCGCCATAAATCTTCTCTAATTACAGTAAGTTTGTTAGCCCTCAAAGTTTCGTTTAGATTCGTGCAGGACTGCTTTGCCATTCTGCGTGCAAGCACTAGTCCGTACTATATACACATGCACCTGTGCTGCTTGCTGTGATTTATCCAATCGATCACGCTCCTTTGCTATCTACATGCAAAATTACACCCTACTTACACTCTATTTACATATGTAATTTTAATATTTACATATGTAATTTTAGGATTTACATATGTAATTTTGGATATTTACATTGTAAATACACTAAAATTAAATATGTAATTTAGGAATTTACAATGTAAATACCTGCCGAGTTTTTTTTGGGTAAAAAATATGGCGCCATAAATATAGCTACACCCAAAATAACATAGAGAGCAGTGCTCTTGCAGTTTGTTCTCTTACATTAGTTATACATTGAAACTACAAATGTAATTTTAGTAATAGGTAAATGATTTTTTTATCATACTTACACCCGACTTACAAACTAGTTACATCCTAGTTACACCCTACTTACACACTAGTTACATCCTAGTTATACCCTACTTACATCCTAGTTACATATGTAATTTTTATTATATTTGACTGTAAATCTTGTGTTGTCCTATTTCTAGGTAAAATTTAATTTGCTATGTCTCATCAACGGGTTATGCTGTGTCAATGTGCTTTGTCTGGAATGAAGTAGTTTTATAATTTAATTTGAAGTTGAAGTATGATTTCTCTGCAATGAAGTAGTTTTATAATTGTATTCAAGTTTGGTGTAGATTTGTTAGTTGAAATTTTGTTGAAGTATAATTTCTCTGGAATGAAGTAGTTTTATAATTGTATTCAAGTTTGGTGTAGATTTACACTATTTTTCCTGAACTTACATTGATTTAATATTGAAATTACAAATGTAATTTTCATCTATGGCCAATGTAATTTTCTCCTTTTTAAGTTTATTTTTCGCTAGGTTAGTACTTTACTGTGTAATTTTGGTTTCAACTTCTATATATATTT